CAGTTGGGAGGGGTGGATGGGGTGAGAATGAGCAAGTTCAGCTCATAGAAGGTCCCATGGAGTAACAAGGGAGTACAACATTTCACCTGAAAAGTATGGGTTTGGTTTGAGGTTCTTCTGCACTCTGCCTCTCATACTGTCCTTCCCTCAAGGGTCTGGAATCAAGCCACCAGGCAGGCTGGAGACGTGGGCTCAAACCCAGCCAGTGCCAGTAAATACCAAAGGGACCCATTCCAGGGGTAGAATTCAGTAGCAGGTTTGCTGGGCAGTGGTCACATGAGTTGGAGCGTAGGTGGGCATTGCCTGTGACATTTGAGTTCCCACTGCACTTTGAACAGGTCTCACTCCAGAGCTGGGATGGGGGGATGTTGACCAAAACTGACTAAGCAGTCCCAAATGGATTGGGATCAGAGTCAGTCCTGTTTTGAGAGGAATCTGTGGTTCTCTTGAGGGAAACTGAGGCAGGAATCAACCCGTGAGTGTCAGGCCAGCACACAACAAGGAGAAATTGAAGATTACAGCTCTCCTCAGAGAGCCAGTGGGATTTCAACCCTTTCTTCATGGGGAACTGAAGGTGCCAGGGGTTAGAAAGAGATATATTCATTCAAGTTATTCTTGCTGCTATAACCAATAACCTTCATCATTTTGGTAAACTAATATACATTTTTTTCTCCTTATGGAAACCCAGGTTCTTTCTATCTTATGACCCTCCCCCTATCCCCATTCTCCAGGGTCTGCATCCAGGCAGAAGAAGAGGGAGAATGTGGAGAAAACACATTCTCTTCTATATTGCCCACTAGAGCTCCAAATCACTTCTACTCATATTTGATTGGTGAGAACTGGTCACATGACCTCACCTAAGTACAAGGGTAGCTGGGAAATGTAGTTCCTGGCTGTGCTGTGCTCCTCAGAACCCTATATCACAGAAGGGGGGCATGCTTTTGTGTGTGTGTGTTAATCCTCACCTGAGGATATTTTTTCATTGATTTTTAGGGAGAGTAGAAAGGGAGGTGAGAGACACAGAGAGAGAAACATTGATGTGAGAGAGATACATCTATTGATTGCCTCCTGCATGTGCCCCAACTAGGGCGGGGATGGAACCTGTAACCAAGGTATGTGCCCTTGACTGTAATTGAACTCAGGACCCGTCAGTCCACAGCAGACACTCTCATCACTGAGCCAAACCAGCTAGGTCAGGGGCCTGCATTTTGAAGAACAGCAGGCCAGCTCTGCCACAGGGGCCCAGCAGACACTCCACCAGAGAGAGGCCTTGGTGAGCGCAGCTGGGAGTGGGATCATGTCTTTGCTCTGCCCACAAATAGTTGTCCCTGATACAACCCAGCCCCTGAAATGGTCTAAATGAGCTTGAGCTGTTTCTAGCCCAACAGCCTGTGGCATTGGACCGAGGAGATAAGGACTCAGTGAGACACTGAGTCCACAGGATTTGAGATAAATCCGTTTCCCTCCTGTGACCTCTGTCAGTGCTTGGGCTGTGTTTGATCAGTGCCAATTCTGTTTGGAATTAAGGACCTTCTTTCACCGGTTTATTCCTAGCCTTCTCCTGAATCCGCAGTGAGTGTGTAAGGCTAAATTCATAGCCCGAGGACATTCTCTTAGCAGCTCCTGGTAAGGATCTAAATATAGACGCCTCACCTCGGGTGCAGAGCGAGGAGGAGAGAGGCTGCCCTGCAGACTCCTCGCTGCACTGCGGCATCCTGCATCTGGGCTCGAGCCTCCGCCTGCCTCCGCCTCTCCATTTAGTCTAGGGGACCTTGAGCAAGACCTTTAGTACTGTTCCCTCATCTGTAAAATGGGAACAGCTGCTGTTGCCATGACAGAAACAGATAAGGAGTCCAAAAGGAGTTTTGTAAACTGCAAAGCACTGTGACAGCATTAGGGATCATGAACGAGGGCCCTGGGCAGTGTGAAGCACACAGGCTCTGGAGCCAGGTGTCCGAATTCCCATCCTGGCTCTGCCACTTCCTAACGCTGGCACTTGGGCAAATTACTGCAAATGAGATAATAAAAGTACCTTCCATGAGGGTGCTGTGGGATCAAGTAAGCTGATATATGTGAAGAGCTTAGCATAGGGTCTGACCTCTAGTCCTTGTTCAGGAAATGCTGGTGGCTCTTGATTCTCCACACACACCTCTGATTTCCCACCCACTGTAGCTTTGTTCCTTTTGTTTCATCCAGCTGCAATGTCCGTTCCTTACTCACCCTTTGGAGGAGCAGCAATGATGCCTGCTCCTCTGGGAATCCTGCCCTGACACCAGAGGCACAGGTCAGACACGCCCAGGGAGTGCTGGCGCCTCCTGCTATTGTGCAGCATGGCGGAACTGCCAGGTGTCTCCGCGAGAAATTGTCCCCTAGTGTCTGCCATTCATGTAAATCATCCCTTTGCTAGGATGCTTGGGGACATGTCTCCTCTCTCCTATGAGTCAGGGAGATCTTTATGGGCAGGGAAGATTAGCTTGGATTATGCTTGCTGCTATAACAAACAAGTCCCCATAGTTGAGTAGTTTAACACCTTACAGATGTATTATCCCAGCCCAGCACCGGGCATCTGGTTGGAGTACCACATACTGTTGAATGGATGAAAGAATGAAAAAATGAATGGCCCAAGGTTTTCTTAGGAGAAAAGACCTTTTGAAACCTTACAACATCGGAGTGGGAAATCTTTACTGAGTGGCTCCCATGAGCTCAGAGTCAGGGGAAGGTGGGGGTGAGGGCAGAGGGTCGGGGCTCCCAGTCTAGCAGGGTGAGAGGGAGAAGGAAGTGGGCCTCCATGGGTCAGCCGTGTCACATGCCTTAGTTCATGTCATTCTTGTTCACTCTTGCAGTTGATAAAGGCTGCAGAACTTCGGTGCCTAGGTCACATCCCTTTGCCGCGCATTCTCCTGTCTCAGCTGTAGAATCACTCAGTCCACATGCAGGTGCAGCTCTGAGTGTGGGGAGCTAACACCTCTGGGGGCCTCCCAGCCAGCGGGGAATGGAAGCGTGGAGATACATGCCCCACCTCTTCCTGGGAGGGGCAATTCTGGAAGGCATCCTGCACCCTCCTCAGAGTCAGTTGCAAAGCTGAGCCCTGGGTCTTCTGGATCGATGTGGAAACACACCCTTCATGGGCTTCTCCTCCTCCAAGTCTTGCTCTCCTGCCCCCGGGTCTCCTCTCCAGTCGTTGTCTCAGGCCCGCTTTCGGGGGACCCAGACATGCACCTGCATTCTGCAGCCGAGGAGACAAAGCTCAAGAGATTATTTATCCAAGGCTCTAAGGCTGGCAAGAGGCTGAGCCAGGATCCAACCCGCTGTGATCCAGATTGAGGGAGGGGGAGAGAAAGGAGAAGGAAAAGAAAAGGAGGCGGTGGGAGGGAGGGAGAGAAGAGTCGCAGAAATGAAGAGACCACCGGAGAAGCAGGGAGAGGCAATGAGTGGTCCATTCGCAAACCTTCCTCACCACTCCTATTCTTTATTTTTGAAGTAAAATTAACTGCATTTAAAACAAGCAGTTACTTCGGTGGGTCTGTTTTGTTGACTAGTTCCCACTTCTCTTAAGTACATTTGTTTCTAGAGATACTGTTTTCAATTTTTTCTTTGGGGGGGGCGGGGGGTGTTGAGAGGGATACAAAGAATGGGATTGATTATTCTCTGAGTTGGGTCATGTATCATTATTGCCTTTTAAAAAAATTTTGTTATGGAAAAATTTATAACAGAACATGAAACTAATAGTATAATAAACCCCCATCAACCTTTCAATCAGCTTTACAATGACTGAACAGAGAACAGTAACTCAGTCATCACAACAACCTTGTCCAATGGGTACTGTTATTATCCCATTTTACAGATGAGGAAACTGTGGCCAGAAGATTAAGCAACTTGCCCAGAGTTACCCAGGCAGCTGGACTCGAGAGTCTATGCTAAACGGTGGGCCAGTTCACTGTCCCTCAGACCGTTGGAGGGCCGGACTATAGTTTAAAAATAAACTATGAACAAATTTCTATGCACACTGCACATATCTTATTTTGAAGCAAAAAAAACCAAAACGGGAACAAATACAATATTTGTATTTGCATGTGGCCCCCGGGCCATAGTTTGAGGACCCCTGGTCTATGCTCTTGACTGCTATGCTGCCTGGGCTGGCTCTTTGGACCTGGGAACAGTGTGCCCTGCATTTCTGGGAGTGCTGTTGATTATTTCAGGACGCTGGGGAACATATTTGTGTCTTTGCTTAAAATATAACCTGCATAGTGATACCCAAAGTTTGACCCACAGGCTAGCAGTTTCCGCCTCTCCTGGAACAAATGCAGAATGTCAGGCCCCAGCCCAGACAGCCTGAGCTGGGATTTATGGGGGTTGTCCTGGTGGAAAAGAAGATACCTATACCAAGAAGGACTCCTGGTGGCTAGCTGGGCTCAAATTTAAACACAGCCCAGTTGCCGTTTCTAAATGCAAGCTGTGCTTCAGGTAGAAGCTGCTCTGAAGCTGACTGTCGCCTGCACTGAACTGCCTGCTCGCACTGCATGCCTGCCATCTGAGCTAATCCTTATAAAGGAGTTTTTTAAATCATATTTCAGCCAACAGATCTGAGACTTTCCCCACCCAATCAGAGCTGAATAGCTGTAGGTCTATTAGCATCCTCATCAACCAATCAGAGTGGCTCCATTCTGGCCAATCAGGAGAGTGGTTTTTTGGACCAATCAAACTGTTAGGATTTGGAGTCTGAATTTGCATGGAGATAGAACAATCAGGGACTGGAACTTCTCTCTGTATAAGCCAGATCCCTTCTGTGCACTTTCCCTTTCACTGAAGACTGCATTTCCCAGGCTGACCTCTTGGTGGACTGAGCTGAGCAGAACTATCTATCCAAGGCCACCCAGGCCCTCACAGCCATGCTCCATCACAATTGAGCCATAACACTAGTATAAAAACTGTGCTACATTACAATTGAACTGTTTTGCTCTGAATAAAGTCTTCTTTTTCTTCACCACACCCTAACTTAGGGATTCCTATGGCACTGGATTGGCACCAATGGCTATCAGTAGGTGGAGCCCAGCAGTCTGCTTCGGCAAGTTTTCCAGGTGAGTTGGCTGCGAAGCACTGGCCTGCAGGCTTTGCTGCCTTCCAGTGCTCTGTGGATGCCTGCCCTGAGTGCCATCCTCTAATGGCTTCTCTCTCTCCCTCCTCCCTCTCTCACAGGCGTGCTCCGGTGTGCTCAGACACTTCATGCCTGGTGTCCAGCAGACGACACTAATCCCCTGAAACACCATCTCCATGACCGCACAGTAGCGGCCCTGCGTCCAGCAAATTGTCTGCAACTTGGCGCTCCTAGTGGATTCTGCATGTGTGGACTGCAGGCTTCTGAGGCTGTAAGTATTGTCAGTCCGACATCATGCTTCCAGGCCCTCCAGGCTGTGATTTACATATGCACATGTGAGGGCAGCACCTGTTAGACATGCACAGCAGGCGGGTTTTGCTCTTGTACTATGACAGTGGATACTTCTGCCGCGCACGCAAGCTTGTTTATTCCTAGGAGTTCAGTATCTATGCATAAAAAAACAACTAATTTAGCTCTCTGGCAATACCTTCCGCGAGGCTGGACGCAGGATTGGAATGCAGGTTTAGGTGGGGGCAGCTTAGATGAGCTGGAGAGGGTCAGCCTGCAGCCAGGTGCTCAGGGTCTGGGGGTACAAGGCTGGGTTCCTGTTCTGGCCTGGTGTGGCTAGCGTTGTGACCCCAGGCAAATCTAGCCTCTCTCAGCCTCAGGTTTTCACCTGAAAAATGGGGATAATCATAGCTACTGCCTAAAATTATTGTGGCAATTAAAATACTACCTCGTTTCATGAAAGCAAAGCCACTGACTACTCACTGTAAATGCCTTTTATTTTATGCATCCCTAAGAAAGAAAAGGATGTTGCCAACTAAACTAGATCCCATGCTTTTTTATCACATAGAACGTCTATCCTATGCTAATTGAAAGAGCTCGTTTAAATTCATTTAGACATAGATTTTTATTGTATATCACATATTGGCATGCATTAAAAGGAAAATATACTGGTGACCCTATTCCTAAAACTTTTCTATATCCAAAGTTCAGTTTCTCTGAACCCCTTTTTGACTCAGTCCTTTATGTCTGTATTTTTCCACATCATCTTGTCCTTTGTGCTACCCAGAGGGTTCATGATGCAGCGATTCTTGGAAGAGTGCTCTCATCTCTAGTCCCCAGAAGTTGTTTCCCAACCTGCTCATTCTGAAAATTTTGATGCTGGAATTTTTAGAAGTTATCAGGAATTATCAAGGGAAGGTTTGTAGGCAACAACCAAGACCCATGTTCCTTTCTCAAATGGCTCTGTATGCTCACACGGTGGCAGTAGTCAAGTGTCCAACAGTCTGCTGTTTGCAAGCTGGAAACCCAGGAATTCAGTGGAGTCCCAAACCCTGAGACTCAGGGCTGATGGTATAAGTTTCAACCTGAGTCTAAAGGCCGGAGAACTGGGAGCACCCATATCCAAGGGCAGGCGAAGATGGTTGCCTTTGCTCAAGAAAAGAGCAAATTCCTCCACCCTTTTGTTCCATCCAGGCCTTCAGCTGATTGGATGATGCCCACCTATGTCAGTGAGGGCCATCTTCTCTACTCAGTCTGCTGATTGAAATGCTAACCTCTACTGGAGACACCCCTACAGGCACACCCAGAACATTTGACCTGCTGTCTGAGGATCCCTTAGCCCAGCCAAGTTGACACATAAAGTGAACTAGCACAGTCTATAAGTAGTTTGTTGGCTGAAATGAGGGGCTCGCCTTTGTGCACCAGGAATTGCCAGCAAGTGTGGGCACACACAGCCACAGCCATGTCACCATGTCCCTCTATGAGACAGTTGGGCCGGGCTGCCAGATACATCCCCAGGGATGTTAACATGGAAAAAGAAGGGGCATCTCTAACTAGTCAAGTGTGATTAGTGTAAGTCGCTTGGCAGAGAGTCTGGTGTGGAAGAACAGAGAGGAGTTTAACATGTGCCCTGTGTATACCAGCTGTATCAGTAAGCTGGGGCGCCCCGCACAGAATACCACACAGGGAGGAGCTTCAGCAGCAGGAACTTATTTTCTCACAGTTCTGGTGACTAGAAGTCCAAGATCAAGGTGTCCACAGAATTGGTTCCCCTTGAGGCCTCTCTTTTTGGTTTGTAGATGACCGTCTTCCCTCTGTGTCTAATCTCTTTTCATAAATACACTGGTCATACTGGGTTAGGGTCCATTCTAAAGACCACATTTTAACTTAATTAACTTTTAAAGATTTGTCCTCCAAATACAGTCACATTCTGAGGTGCTAGGGGTTGGATGTTAAACCCAGGAAATTGAGGGGATGCAACTCAACCCCTAACACAGGCAGTATCTCCTTTCAGCTGTGTGGTGATCACATGGGGAAAGTGGCTTTATCTGCATTTTACTGATTAAGAAACTTGTGAAGGGCTGAGATTCAAATCCAGGGGAGGCCTGGGCTGTGCCTTTCCTGCTAATTTCTCACGTCAAGCTGTGCTTCATGGAGCCTGAGCAGGTGTCAGGCGTCCTTTCTCACTCCCACTACTCCCCGGCTCCCACACTGCAGTGGGGTGGGGAGGAGGGGGCCTGATTTCCTGTTCACCTCTCCCTCTCCCACACTAATCAGAATCCTTCCAGTATCTTACTGGGCTCCCTTGTAAGTTTTTATTTGAAAACAGGGTGGCTGAATTGAGACGTTTGAAGATGTCTGTACTATGGCGTAGTGTTTCCGAGTAGCTTAAAACAGGAGAAATACATTCACTCACAGTTCTGGAGGCTGAACGTGTGAAATCAAGATAATGGCAGGGCCATGCTCCTCCGAGGACCTCCAGGGGAGGGTCCCTCCTGGCCTCCTCCCAGCTTCCTGTGGTTGCCAGCAGGCCTGGCTGGTCTCCGTGGTCATGTGGCTTCTCCCCCAGTGTACGTGCCTGTGTCTTCTCTTCTAAGGGCACCAGCCATATTGAATGTAGGGCCCACCTTATCCAGTATGACCTTATCTTAACTAATTATGTTTGCAAAGATCCTGTTTCCAGGTAAGGTCACAATTCCCAGGCACCTGGGATTAGTATTTCATATCTTTTTGGGGAATGCAATTCAAACAACAGCATGTGCCTAGTTAAGCAAGAGTACGTCTCAGAGTGGACGCTGATGGAGGACTTTCTGACAGAGCCCAAAAGTGATGGAGGAACTGAGAGTGGCCACAGCCGTCAGGGGTCATGGAGGAGGGTCCAAGGGGTAAACTGGGTTGACTTTATGGAAGGACAAGGATAACCTGCCATTTGATGAGTTGGCCTGAGCTGCCCCTTCTCTGTCTGTGCTCACATCTCTGTACCATTCACTCGCTCTGAAGCGCTAAAGCCCAGCCTTCCCCAGGGAGAAGGCAGGTTGGTAAACACCAGAACCACCGGCTCACTCTGCTCCTTACGGGTGAGGCCAAAGTCCTTGAAGACAGCAGGGGCTCTGCTTTGAATGTGAGGCATCACAGAGTTTAATTCTCATATAATCCTTTGCGGGGGGGGGGCGGGGGGCGGGGGCTTCCAAAAACACCTTGTCCTTAAGCAGTTTTCATTATGGATGCTAGTTGCTCAAACCTTGGCTAATTCAGGCTAACTTAGATCCCACTGGAGCTTTTCTTTTTTGTCCTGGCCTCCTCTGAAGTCAGACCAAACGAAAATCCACATAGAGGATGTGAGTCCCACACTCTGGCATAATATCAGAATGGCCCTGGGAGTGATTTAATAGCCCGCAGTCATGGTACAAATGGTTATTTATAAGTGTAGGTGATGGCTAAAGCACACCCTCCAGTAATTACTCACAATTAACAAGCACTTCAGTAAATGAACAATATCTGTTCTTAATCCATTGAGGCAGCAGTTCTCTATCTGGAACTCATGTCCTCGAAACTTCTGGTTAACCAGCCCTCCCACATAGATCCAGAACAAAGCTAATTAGAGATGATAATCATGACCTTCAGGCTCCTTCCAGAGCCTGAAGGGTGCTTGAGTCATCAGTGAAATATAATGTGTTCCTGTAGAGTTTCAGTTGACAAGCCTAACGGAGTTGAAAATGGGTGTCAGCATGTACCTGTTAACTCTCTGTTAACCAGGAAAATGGTAGCGCTCATGCGGTGAGCTCTTACCTGTGCCAGGGCGGTGCTAAGAATTTTACAGGTCTCATCTCATTCAATCCTCCAAGCTCCTCCTCTACAGATGAAGGTTCCAGTTTGGGGGAATCAGAGTGTCCTTGGCAAACAATAGGAACCGGGCTCCGCTCTCCTTCTTGTCCATTCTAGTTGTCCTTGACTCAGGCCCCCTTGCTAGTGCAGGTTACGGGGAGTCTGGGATGCCCCAACTGGAATAAACCCCCCTGAGGCTCCTGTTAAAATCTTACATTTTACATGAGGAGACTGAGCCCAGGGCATTGAGTGATGCACTTAGATTTGCCCAGAGCCCTTGTCTCCGAGACCTGTGTTCTGTCTATTACACCAGAGTGTATCAGACATAATTCAGTTGCTTATTGATCATCTCTGGGAGTCTGTGGATTGATTTTATGGCCAAAAGCAGGATCCACCAGACAGAGCTTGTCTTTTTTATGACGAAGAAAATTAGCTAAACCTTCATGTGTTATAAAGTGTTGGCTGAGTCTGGATCCTGGAGGGTAAGAGTGAGATACATAAAATATATTCCCACTGATGTAATTTGGTACATTTCTATTACTCTTGCCTTTCCTCATTCCCTGTATTCCATCTGTTCGCTGTCCTGCCAGTGCTAATTTAAAAAAAGTATCAGAAATCTGACTGCTGCTGATCATTCCACAACTCCGGCTCTGGTCCCAGCAGCTGTCTCCTCTCACCTGGAAGACTTCCCTAACCTCCTTCCTGAGAAAGCCTGCTTCCATGCTCCCCATCACATGTAGAATACAATACAAATTCCTTACCTGGTGAGATGGCCCACATCACTGACCTCATGCCCTGTCACTCAACACTCTCTTGCTCTGTTCTGGTCACCCCGACCCTGACAGGCCTTCAGTCTGCCAAAGTTATTCCTGCCTCAAGACCTTTGCACAGGCTCTTTTCTTCATCTGGAATGTTCTTTGCTCAGATGGGTTCTTGACTCACTCTTCCATTTTACTCAGGTCTGAGAGGCTTTCCCAACTGCCATATCTAAAATAATGCCCCATCGGAGGGAGAAGAAGATGGCGGCGATATAGGCAGACGCGTCCCAGGTCGTGTCCCGGAGCAAATGGAGTGAGCAGCTGAAACTAATAGCACCCACCCCGAGTTGGCGAAAGGGCTCAGCTGGTGAGACGGTTTGCAGCCGGGAAGAGCA